CATCTCATTATTTTTAAAGAACATGTTCTATTGACTTTTTTCCTGGACTCTAATGGATCAGGCCGCATCTCTCTGCAGGTGCCCTCACTCGACCTTGGTGCCCCTGTCGTGTGTCAAGAACCTACCGTAGATTCACGGGCCTCCTGACCATTGAGATTGTTCCCTGTGCTCCCAAAGGATCATGTGTACCCTTTTCTCACTACTTGATATCATTTCCTACTCTGTGAACACTGTTTATTTGCTTCTCCATCTTTCTCTCTAAATTGTGAACCCACGAGAAAAAGTTATGCCTTATTTTTCCTTATAAAGCAATATCTGGAAAAGAGTAGATGTTCCGTAAATGAGATGGGAGGTGTACAGCAAATAAGAATGTAGGAAAATGTATATACTCAACAAATATTTTCACCAAACAATGGTAAAATGATATTTTAAACAATAAAAGATTGCAATATTTGACCTGGCATAAGAGTTTTGTCTACAATAATATAATCTAGTTTGTATATGCAACGACCACATTTTTATCCAATATATATTTTTAGTTATTTCCAGATGATGATGTGGGCATTTCTTTTTCATTATGATTTTTCCACGGACACTTTCGAAATTACTACTGTTTAACTACACACACACACACACACTCACTCACACACATACATTATATAAATGCTACTACACAGTTTAATATACAGCATTAGAGTAGTATATTACTATATTCATATAATACACCATGTATATATACTTAATCCGTCAAATTTAGACAAGGCACCTCAAATTTTAATATATCTGCATTTTAAAAAAATAATAATCATACAACGAAACTTTTCTGCTTCTCTTCATAAAATATTTTATGNTACATGTGGCATACACATGAAATATAGAAATTATTAATGAAGTGAACAAATGTATACCTACTAGAAAGAGAACATTACCAATGTCTTCGGAACCCCATACATACACTTCCAGAATTTTACCAATCTGCCTCCTAGAAAAACATACACAAACATACAAAGACACATACACATACACACACACCAAACATTTAGTGATGATATTTCCTTGGTTTTCTAGGTAATATTTATTGTATTTATATTTACTATGTATTTGTCTTTCATAACATAATATAAACAGAGAAGAGTGAAAAAATACCAAATAACCAGATTCATGTAGTTAGGCAAAGAGAACACAGCTTATAAACACCACTCGGGTGGAGAATGAAACATTGTCAGACTTCCAGAAGAATAAGAGAGATAATTCCCTTTACCACGTCCCATCACAATGCCTTCCCTTTTTCCCCATAGCTAATCACTGCCCTGCCTCCTAACACTTTAGACTGATTTTGCAAGTTGTAGAGCAAAGGGATAAAAGAAATCCTGTAACTATTTCTTCTCTACCTGGAATGTCAGGTGGGAGTAAATGACCTCCTTATAAAAGTGCTAATGACATTGGTAATAACTCTTTGTAAACATGCTAATAGTTATCACTGTCTTACCAGAGCATAACTTGTCTAGCTTGTTTATTCTAAATAAACCTAGAAGGGCAGACTTCAGGAGAGATATGTGAGGATCTGGGTGAATACTAATCCCTGTAAAACAATCATTTAACTGGTGAATATTATATCAAAACATTTGAAGTTTCTGGAAGTTAAGGGCACATAGCAAATAGAAAAAGAAACATTCAATAAAATCTACTAAATCTTGGTAAGAAGAATAAGAGTCTTTGACTATGACATTTGAGTTATGATCTGCTCTCATGCACCCTCCGTCCAGCTCTGTTCCAGAATCTCTACTGCAGGAAGTGAAGCCAAAAGACAATCACTCCCTCCCCTCACAGCATACAATGTAGGGCTCCAATTTCACCTTGGGAGGACAGGCTATGTCACATTCCCTACCTCCCCTACAAGCCCTCTGTTGAAGAAGCTCTATTCCAGGAAAGCACAGTCAAGATGACTGGGGTACATTGTTCTCACCTNAGATATGTGAGGATCTGGGTGAATACTAATCCCTGTAAAACAATCATTTAACTGGTGAATAGTATATCAAAAACATTTGAAGTTTCTGGAAGTTAAGGGCACATAGCAAATAGAAAAAGAAACACTCAATAAAATCTACTCAACCTTAGTAAGAACAGTAAGAGTCTATGACTATGACATTTGAGTTATGATCTGCTCTCATGCACCCTCCGTCCAGCTCTGTTCCAGAATCTCTACTGCAGGAAGTGAAGCCAAAAGACAATCACTCCCTCCCCTCACAGCATACAATGTAGGGCTCCAATTTCACCTTGGGAGGACAGGCTATGTCTCTCATTCACTACCTCCCCTACAAGCCCTCTGTTGAAGAAGCTCTATTCCAGGAAAGCACAGTCAAGGTGACTGGGGTACATTTTTCTCACCTAGCTCCCACTTGTAGGGCAAGGGTTCTGCCTCACGAGATAATTTCCCTCTCCTGTGTGTCTTGTTGGGCAGAAGTTGAGTTTTGGGGAACACAAGCCAAAAAGGCCAGGGGCTATCACCTTCCCCCACCAGTGCCCACTCTTACAGCAGAGATGTCACTCTGGCAGAAGTGGATCTCTACCCCTGCCCTAACTAAGACTCAGTAGTAGTGAGATTTTGCCTACGGGAAGAAGTAGGCTGTATGGACTGGTATATCTGCAGCTCTGCCTAAGGGTACTGACTTTGTATGGGACAGAATGTGGACAGTTCATGCCCAAGGGCTTCAAAAGCAATGGAGACATTGGTGACAAAATATTAAGGGGCTCACGGCTCCATGGAAGTAGTAGCAACAGGGAAATTGTAGAGCAGCCAGAAAATTAACAGAGAGAACCAGAGAAAGAGAAAGCCAGCATGGGCCTATTTGGGATCACACTTATGCCTGGGGGTCCAGAAGGATGTTTGCATGTTCTAGGCTGCATCCACTGAGAAGTTATTGGAGCACAATGTGGAGGAAGACTTTAAAGCATTCCCAAATGACAAACAGGTCAATCAGCCAAAGGTAAAAACCTCAATGGCTCAAGTTGCTTAAACATAATCTGACTAATCAGGGGCTGAAAAATAAGATATTCTGACCCCGGGGGATTCCGATAAAGCCAGGCTGAAAAATAAAATTATATTCAGTCTGTTCTTTCTGATGCTAAAAGATAAAACTTTGAACCTGGAATCATGAAAGCAGTCTCCAAGCAGCAAATAGATCCAAAAGTAAAGGATGAACATTTTTCCACTTCGGGGGCTCAAGTACAACCTTTCACCAACAAGTGTTTTCTACCGATAAAGGGAGGAATCCTAGGAAGCCAGGCTAAAAAGATAAAAACATAGCGAAAATCTGAGCAAGGATATCAGAACCTGCACTATGCAGTAGAAACAGACTTCCACTCAAGTCACTCAACAAACAATAAGCCTGTTTGGAGATTAATATCCAGATTTAAAGTATTACTAATATGTCCAGTTTTTAACAACAACAACAAAAAAACCTGAAGACATGCAAAGAAATAGGAAAGTGTGACACATATACAAAACGAAAGGCAAACAATAGACCATGCCTTTAAGGGAAACTATATGTTGGACTAGTGGAAAAATACTTTATAACAGCTATTACATTGGGAGTTATTGTTTAATGGATCCAGAGTTTATGTTTACAATGACAAGAAAGGTTTGGAAATAGAGATGATGGTCACAGAGCACTATAATTGTAATTAATTTCACGAATTGTATTTTTAAAACTGCTTAAAATGACAAACATTATGTTATATACATTTTTACCACAATGAAAGATATATATATAT